AATCGCGGAATCCAGGGTCGTCGGTATAGCCGGTGCGGGCGCCCGCCTCGAGGCTTGAGAGCTGATCGAACGACATCGCTTCTATGCGAAAGACCAAAACGTAACGATGGCTATGGAGTCTAAATGCAGCAAGGTGTTAGAAGAGCCTCCTGAGGTTAGAAGGCTTGTGTTGGCGATGTCGGATGAGGCGATGGTTTGTTTCAGTGGGATGGTGGTTGTCGCTTCGGGTGCCTGGTGCATGTCGACGTAACCAGCCACTTCTGAAGCCAATCAAAGGCAGCCTGCGCCTCCACTCTGTACGTACCTCGGTGTAGGTGCCTGGCGCAATCTCCACGTGACTGATTAGGTAAGGGACCATCAAGCTTTGTTTTCCTTGGACATCTTACCTAAGATACTGTTGCTAGCTGTAGGTTTTTATTTACATTAGCGCATCTGTCAATACAGCTTTCTCTCAACCAACTCTTCGGCAGACGATGCGCTGTGAGAATGGCTGGCCTCACAGTCCGAAGGGCTCCTTATAAGGACTTCTTGCAACCCGCGTTGCAACGGCGATTTGCCTCGACAGCCATCATTCTTTTAACTGTTTCCTATGCTGAGGCTCTCGCCTTGGCTCAGTGGAACTCTTGTGAGCAACCCATTACACCAGCCCGGAATTCCCAATTGCTAACGTTGCATAGTCATCTGGCCCTGGTTTCCCCTTGGAGGCGCGGGAGTTCGAACAGCATTCATCTTTACCTGCGGCCTTGCGATCCTCGTCCTCCGGATAGCTAATTACCATGTCGGGCTTCGAACGATCGGAACAGGCAGCCAAACCTTGAGGGCCAGCCTTACCAAGCTCTCAACCTACGAGACCGCATTCTGGTACTTCTTCTCCAGCACCCTGTTCTCTCCAGTGTTCCTCTGGTCGACGCCCGAGTCAGCAAACTTGAGTTGGGTCACCTACTTCAGTGGCGATCGGGCGAGAGTCAACGAGCGCACCCTTTTCCTGGCAAGCTATCTTGGATTCTGTGCTCTTAGACAGAGCATTGTCCATTTTACAAGCGACATTGATCGCCTGGACCTGGGAATCTCCCGTCAGAATGGGACCAAAGATCAGTCAGCTTCCCTCAAAAGGGTTATTTTGCAGTTTCCTAAGCTCCTTGCACACTCCGTGCAAATGGCCTTCGTATCCTATATCGTCTCGTTCGTGGTATACTTTACCGTCGTAAGGTCCATCGCCTGGGGCTGGGCCCTGATGTTTCTCCGCCCATTCTACAATCTACCAAAGGCGAATCTGCTCCCATTATCCTGGCCAGTGGACATATTTCTCGTTATTCGCTGCGTCTTCGCCGGGACCTTGCTCTTCTTCATGTGGTCCGCCGCCAACATCGCATTCTCCATCTTCATGGTTCAGGAACCTCTGAAGAATGACCAGCCTCTTACATCTGAGTCAAAGGACCCTAACGGCAGTCTCCTGAATGGCTTGAAGAGCAAGAAGCCTTCTATTCAGGTAAGCATCGTCCCGATCTCTTATCCCTCCCTTAGCATCTCAGTGCCTTTGTCCTCTAACACACTTATTAGTTCTTCGCTATGTGGGAACTTTCCCGCATTGCTGAGAGGTTTGAGCCCAGACGCAAAGCCATTTATGTCGATATTGACCGAAAGGAGGGGCCTATGTGGTCTCAAGTTTACGCTGTCTGTATGGATGTTGTCAAGAGCATAGATACTCGGGCTAAAGACTATGGAAAGCCTCCAGCACCTGCTCAGCCAGCGCAGGCAGCTGTCAACCCTAGATCACAGATCACCAACTCCTCGCTACGTAATGACCCTATCTTCAACACATCGGCGCCAAATTCGAGAGCAGGAAAGTTCGCGACACTCATCGACCAAGGCGCGCATGCACTGGGCAGCGGCGCATCCCATGACAGCGGCAACTCGCCCTTGTCCAAGCTCAGTCCTATCGCAAAGAAGACCTGGGCTCAGACTAAGGATAGTGTTCTGACAAAGGAGCAGCAGGATGCTGTATCCTCAGAAGGCATCAAAAACAATTTCCAGAGTACCACTTTACAGCTAATTAAGTCGATGCACTGGGTTGACCTACTATTCCGACAAGACTTCCGCACTGCATTTACAGCTGCGGTGCTTGGCGGGCCATACGCGGAGCCAGCATTTTACTGCCATGCGGTGAACGCTTTGTGTCAATTGGCTGTTCACAGCTTGGGAGAAGACCAGTTCGGCAATGTCCATCGAGATGTCCCCAACATCATTAGGACCCTTACTTCCGTGATCCAAAGCGTCGAGGCATTGAAGCAACGGTTCCCCGTTCACTGGACCGACGCTGGCTCTGACAAGGACACCCCAGAAGTTGATCAAGTTCTTGAAGCTCTGCGGACTGGCCTGGGGCAGATTGTGGCCAGCTTCGAGCCCTTCAGCCACGATCTGAGACTCACGCAGGGAGATTTGCGCCAGGCTAAAGAGGCTGCAGAGAAGCCCAAGCCTGCCGTACCCCAGCCAGTAGCAGAGAAGGAGAAGGTTCCCGAAAAGACATCTCGTCAAATTATCACTGAGAAGGTGGCTCAGGATGCAGAGATACGGCAGCCTTCCAGACGACGACACAGTCGGCCTGAAATGGAGCAAGTGAGGCATAGGTAGAAAACATAAAGCCGGCGTACTCAGGGGGTAAAGCGGATCGGGAGGCTAATTGATACCACATGACATATGTATAAAAGGTCGAATATGAAATTGATTTCTCGCACATTAGTTATAATGTACGCCTTTATTGTACCACATCGCATCCTTTAACTTTGATGGGGTATGTCCAGTCTTGACGACGTGGTGAGGCTCTTCCGTGGTAGTGGATCCCTGCCTACCCTGTGCTCCACCCAGAAATAGCAACTGCCTTAGCACCCGTCCCTTATAATGACCAACCTCCACATCCGACTTCTGGATCGGTCCCTGTCAATGTGCAGACCAACCCCTTCACCGGTTCCAGCGAGGAACCAGCCTCGCGCCACTCGTTCCATTTGTCCCCCCATGCTGTCATTCCTCTCCAATTCTCTAGTCATGCGCATCAAGATATCATCATAGAATATCTCGGTCGCATCCGCGGACCTGAGACACTTCAGGCAACGCCAACATGATTACAGCACGCCAACTCTTCCGTATCGTCTACGGCTCCATCTATCTTGTTCTCTATGTTATTCTTCTTGCTTTACTACTCATCACCCCCACCGACGCCATTATTCGATCGATACAAAACCACCAGACTTACAATATATGGATTCTTGTAATCTTCTACGTCGTCACCGTCATCATCGTCACCTGCATCTACCTCATGCGACTTTACGTCAACAGGACCGTCCTCGCCGCGATCCCGAAATCCACCCTGCCGATCAAGCCTGGAGATGTGAATAGGGCCGTGCATGCAATCATAGAAGCTGGCCTGGAGCGCAGCGCCGCCATCGCATTCGAGGCACGCCCGAGTGCTGACCCGAATAAGAAGGAAGGTCAGCCAGGAGAGAGGGTTGTCCCTCCCGCGTCAGAAGGGCTGGGCATATCGCGGACTCTGCAGAGCAGGATCTGGGACGATATCGAGCACCATGGCTGGTCATCCCCTAACCTGGCCGACTTGCCCAACCTACAGTACTCCACCGTTCTCTCCGAGCTTCCAAACTTAATAGAGGCCAAGGCCCTCACCCTCGCGCCACCAGACCCGGCGTCGCAGTCCGATCCCCCGGTGCTGGACCCGGAGGCAGTCGCTTTACTCCAAAAACCCTCATATCTAAGTCTTAGGGGCTACATCGACCAACTGACCTCGCTGGGCGTTCTGAATATCGACGACACGGCTGCCAGCTTTCTGGAACGATACGAATACGCCCGCTTCTCCACCCGACCAATTTCGAATGCGAAATTCCGTGAACTAATGCACCTATTCGCGGAGATGCTTCGTTCCATGCAGACCTTGGATCTCGAAGCCTTGGACGCAGAGCAAGAACTCCAGTCGTACACCGAGTCTTTCGTTGATCAAAGCAACAGGGATGGCGCCATGACCCCCAGAAGCCAGCGCTCCAAAGCTGCCACTGTCAGCTCGCAGAGCTCGGTCAGGCGGCCCATGCGGAGCTCGTCCTGGAACCTGTACCGGACTGCGCCAAACACCCCTCATAGCACTGCCCGGGTCATCTCTCGCAAGTCCAGCAGCAGCAATAGTTTTGCGCAGTCTCGCAATCCGTACCATATGGACGACTCTCGCTCCCCTAGCCCTAGTATTCGTTCTGGGAGCTCAGCATCGGTCATTCGCCTTTCCACAAACGAAGACAACCAGGATGGCCCTTACGTCCTGAACCTGAGTGGCACAGCTGAGAGTTTGAGTCCAGCCCAGAGATAATCCAGGAACCTATCATGCAGACTTGGCCCCTGTCCACAAAATATCGTGGAAGGATGGTGCTTCATGTTTCAATATCTAATATATATAATACCATGTATTTTAAGCAAGCCGGTACATAGGGCGGGAAATCAGCCCTCTGGTCTTCACGGCAGACCAGTACGACTGACGAGCATAATCACGATCACATCATAGCGACTTCAACTTTACCTAATCTAGCATATTAGTTGCGCAAAAAAGCATACACAGAAAAGCATTTTTTAACTCCTATAATAAGAACTATCTAAGTTTCCACTGTCTATTTGATCTATCTAATATGAAGCTGCCAAGCTGTAAACTGTCTTGCCCGTCGTCATATTAAAATAGCTTGACTCGTCTCCACAAAAAAAGTTGCAGATCCCAAAGCTCCAAAACCCCAATCCCGTTCAATCATCATCGCAAATCTAGCCATCACATCCATCCCAAGACTTTTCACCCAATCCAACCTTCCTATCCCGCCCGGAATTCATTCGCACTACATATTATCGTTCTCAAGATATTAATCCAACCCCAAGCGCTCTCAAATCCTACCAATTCCCCTCTTAGCGCAAAGCAATTCCTCCCCCAGACCAAACCGAGGAGCGCCTCTCCCTCAGGCGCAATGGCCCCCGACAAACCCCCCCCCCTCCCCCTCGCCCCCGACCGCGCCGCCCTCTCGAACCGCATCTCCCTCCTCCTCTCCGCCCAGTCCTCCGTCCTCAAAACCATGAACCAATCCTCCGGCACCGCAGCCAAGCATCAACCACCGAGGCAGCACCACCACCGCACGGACGAGGAGGACCTGTTCCGGGAGAACGCCCGCCCAAACGAGGGCGTGGGGTACGTCGCCGACGCCGCCAAGGCCAAGAGCGACGAGGCCGCGAGGGAGGACAGGATGCTGAGGGGCCGGCTGTTGGGCAAGCGGAAGGATCTGAATGCCGGGAGGCGGGGGGCCCGACAGGCGGACGAGGACGAGGAGGATGACGAGGGCGGCAGGAGCTCGCTGGGGAAGAGGAAGAGGCCGAAGAGGGTAACGGAAACTGCCCAGGAGGCGGTGGAGGTAGAATCAAGCTCCCAGGCTGGTGAGGGCAACGTGGAGCAAGATCAAACAGAAGAAGGGCACAATGACTTGGATGACACGAGAACGAATCAGAGTGGTGAGCCAGGTAGTTCCGATCTACCAGACCACAATCAGTCGACTGCAGAAGCACAGACAAAGAAGAAGAAGAAAAAGAAGAGGAAGAACAAGAAATCCAAGAATGAGGGGGTCTCATAAGCTTAAGTAGATACACACATGAAACGACAATACACATAATAAGATCACAGTTCTAGTCTTGTTTCGTAAAGAGGGGAAAGTATTATGTCTCTTCTGAAGTATCTCCTCTTTTAAAGGAGCATGATACCCAAAAGGCTAAAGGGGTTTATAAATCCAATCAAGATCCGTAAGATCTGCCAACTCCTTTTGCTGACATGACGAGGTTGATGGCGGGTTATCCAAGAATGCAAGACCCAAAAAGAATATATACGGCCATGGCTATGTCTGCCTCGTTCCCAACATTAACATACTCGTCATCAACCTTCGCGGGCCAATACATTTTACAGCCTCCGCGCCAACCACAGGGGTATCACAGCAATGCTCCACGTGCTCTGCACAGTATTAGTCCAAAATGTAGATGGAGTTGTAGACCTGCGACCAGCCCTAGGATTCCCAGGTAGATAGAAGCAGGTGGCGAGGTCTCGTTCGTGTATATGAGACTCATCGCTCTAGCAACGACATGAATCAAGGCTGCCTGTAAAGGCCACACCTCCCTACGCGCTCAGTACAACAATGTGTTAGGTTGCGCATGTTGCACTCTTCTTTTCGTTTAATCGATCCTTGGCGAGACCGCTCCCTGCAGGTAATCCAAGTACGCACTCGACTTGGAATTGAGTGCCAATCAGGAATAATGAAAACGTTTCGCGTCCTGCGTTCGATCCGGTGTCGGTCTGTGGTATACATGGTACAGTGCTAGTTGCGAAAAGGAAGATACTACATCCGTTTTCGCTTTCTGTCGTCATCTCCGCGCGGATCCTCGCCTTCTTCGGCACGCTCGGTGGTATCGCTAGGGTTAAGGATATGGGCCATGCTTCCTCGGCGTGTTGGCGGCCCCGAAGAATCTTTCAGGCTCCTGCTGACGGCAGAGCCCCAGGTCCAATTGCCAAATGTTTCTGCGCCGCCCCCTCCCACTCCATTGGACATCGACGGAGGGGTCGTGGGCCGGGAATTGGGATGAGGGTTGGATGCGGTCTGTAAAGTGTAAGAAGAAAGTGATTCCCGGATGCGCTGGTCCTCTGGAGGGACACGGCTCGGTGAAGAGGGATAGGCAGCTGTTGAAGTGGCGCCGAGTGGTGACATTCCGGTTTGCCAGCCATGAGCCCTGATGTCGGCCGCGGTATGTCTTCTTGCCATACTCGGGTGCTCAATAGGGAGCAGATGCTGTCCTGGCGGTGGAGCCGGGGGAGGGTTGCGCGAGGGAGAGGATTGGGCAGTACCAACCCCGCCGATCGAGCCAAAGGGCCGTCGTGAGCCTACCGACAGATTAGATGGTACTGAGGGCCGGTAGAGGTTTTGATTGCGCGGCTGCGGAACGGTCAGGTTTGAACGCCTGGTGTCATCTTGGGGGAACTGCCGTGGAGAGATGGGAGCGTTATCAATGTTAGAGAAAAACTGCTGCCTGGTGGAAAAGGATGGAGGCTCGGTGTCCTCCAAAGACCGGATAGTCTCAGCATGCCTCTGCATGTCCACTTGGAGCGCCGCAACTTGATAGAATATGTTAGCCAGGGGCGTCCCGCAAAAGCAATGTTATCAGACCTCCACTTACCATCTCGATGAGCACTACTGTCGGTAGGAACAAGAGTGAGTATCGTCTTTGACAACTCCTGATTAAAGTGAAGGAGGCGGTTCAGGATGTCCACGGCGGCTTGACTCCGGACGTTGGCATAATGGGCATTCTCTTCGGTTCTTAGCAGTCGAGCGCTGAGCTCATACACCGTCTGCTCCAAATTCGCCAATCGACTATCACCAGTCTCGGGATTTACGTGTATTGGCTCTGCGGGCGTGCCTGGCTGCGAGGAGACAGGCTTCGTGAAGTTACTTTCACGATTTACGAGGGCATGACGACTCGCCCGCCTCTTGATCTCCCGAAGCCCATTCAGATCACCCCGCTTGAAGTTGCCACCGCCATGTTTGAATTCCCAAAGCGTACTATCCGGGTTGCCAGTGTGAAAAACATCTCGTTCTATATATGAACACCAACCGAATTAGGTACGTCTTCATAGACACTCCCGCCCATGATGTGAACATACCTTTATGGAACCCATACATATTCAGCTGCCTCACAAAGGAGGATATGTTGGTATGTTTGAAGTATTGTCTGGAGATCGTTAACTTTAGAGCGTTGCAGACGGTTTGCATTTCCAGGTCTCACTCACGATAAAACCTTTGAGAAATCAGGCGAGGGTGACATGACAAAACTGTCGGCCGTAGATGACCAAGCAATCAAATGCCTAATGTTTTGATCTTCGAGCATGCTATAAGATGTATTAGTCAACTGAATTCTTCAAGCAGCCTCCAATGGGGATTCCCTAACTTGTAGAGCTTATGAATAAAAGCCGTTTGAACGATCTTTGGCTGGTGGATAGCCGCGGCAGCAGGTGGCGGGGCTACCATGGGGATGGGATTTGAAGCCGCGCTTTGCTCCTGCGGCGAAGAAGTCTTGGAATGATCATTCATCTTGCTGTCGGAGTCCTGATCCGGCCCTTGGCCAGAGGAAGGGGATTTGTGGCTGTTGGGTGTGGTTACTTCCATGGGTTCGGCAACCACGGAGGCTGACGTAGACATGGTGGATTGTGTTCTGCGGCTAAGGCGCCTTGGAGGAGATAAAGAGGTAGGATAGCCAGGAGTCAATGCGGCTCTCGCGGAGAGCGAGGTTCAGGCTGGATGTCGTGGGCCGTTGTCGCTCTCGGTTTGATCCTAACGTGGGTGTCTACAGCGCGCTCAGTCGCACCACCGGTCTGCCCTAACGAGGATCACACAGTCAGCTCCAATACCACAGGCGCATCATGAAAAGGCGGCTGCTCGAGCTTGTTCGCGATAGCCGCATGCATACCAGTCAACAGCTTCAGGACGGCGAACCTGGAATGCTGGGATCCCAGCATAGGGTGTACGATCTTGGTGTTCGCGCGATAGGAGCAGAACAGCACGCATACGCCTCGGTATCGGACTTACCTCATGTCTACCAATTGATGCTCTCAAGGAGGGGAAACGTTATAACAAAATGACCGTGATCGCGATTGCTACCACACCCATAGGCGGTAGGTGCCTGAATCAAACAGCGTCGTCGGGAATCTAGGCGCTGGTGGATGGATCGCAGCTCTCTCGCATCGGCGTCGCAAACAAGGTAGCGTCGTTGATCAACCCGGGCTCCTTCGCACTATAATTAACTACCGGTTGCCCACACCAAATACAGATCGCAAGTCGAAAGAGGGCTGATTCAGTGTCGCATAGATGCGCAGGGGATATTACGGCAGCTTCTGGAGGCTGCAACGTTGGTCGCGAAGCTTGAGCAAGCTTGGGGGGGGTTTGTCTGGGGAGCAAGCAACGGAGCTTGGGCGGAGTCGCGGACAGCTGGGGGACAGGAGCGAGACTGCACAATTGGGGGCTCCGGCGGACAAGCAAGGTCGGGAGAAAGCAAGATGCACGCTCAGGCGGTTGCGCAGGAGATGCAGAGGGTTGAGGATAGAAGGGCCAAGGACCGAGATGTGGAGGTCGACAAGATGAGAAGGTCGGAAGGTCGGCCGGCTGGAGAAGACGGCTGGTGCTGGCTGGTGGTGAGTTAGGTAGGCGCTCCTGGCGCTACCTTCGGGGGGGGAGGAGGAGAGTGGGGAAGGGGGACCCCCGGCCAGGCCTATTCGACCGTCTCCTAAAACCGCCCCAAGCCCACTAGAGGTGCGGCGTGTGGCTTGCGATTTTCATTCACTCAACGCTGGGCTGTACCTATTGCCTCCTAGAGGAAGTAGCTACGGGCGACAGGTACATGGAGGCATGGAGGGACATGCCCTCCATCTGCTGCAGTACCTTCAATGGGACCCACCCGCCTACAGGTGGGTAAGTGAGTGCTCCCAGTTAGCCTAGTCGGCCGCGTAGCCAGAGATCCATTGGCCACTGAGGTGCTCTGTGGTACAGATTGTCTTGGGCCAATGGAGGGAGGGGGGTCTGGGGGAGTTCCCCTTGGCTGTCTCGCCCAAGCCTTCTCTCGCCCGCAGCTGCCAAGTGATATTCTATCCTGGCTTGAATCCTCACTCTCCATCCTCCCGACACGCCGGGCAAAAGAAAAAAAAAAGTGGGAAGACAGCAAAAGCAAAGAAAGAAACGGGAGGTCTTGGCCATCTCGGTTGGAGAAGACGTGACAAACCAACATGGAGGTGTCCACACACATTGACCTTAATACATAATAATGCTCTGCTCCATCTCGTGGGCCAGCGGATCCAAGGAATCGCGGAATTAAAACCACCAGTACTGCACGGGCAAAGTCAGAGTCAGAAGCCACACGCAGTCCATGACTCCAATCTGATCCACGCCTCCGCCGTCCACGATTCGGGCCCTCAATGCCAGACACCCATCACGTATCTCACCACTAGCCCTACCTGCCTAGTCCCCTAGCCCCGGGGCGGAACAGGCGAAGAAGAAGAACATCATTATGACCACAAGCCAGCAGCGGCCAGATCTTGGAACAGGAGGGTTCCACCGCCCTTGTCTTGTAACCTGCGCTGGCCGGGCGTATTTATACGTTATGTAAATGCGTCCATGTATCCGGTCCGCGATAGGAAATAACACCCTATTCAACTCATCTGGGCGACGGGACCCAATTCGCGGGACGCAAGAACCCGGTTCCCCTTGGGAGGGAGAACGCCTGTCATTAGCCCTCCGCATATCGCATATCGCATATCTCATCACCCTCCAATGTAATGCCCAGGTTATTTGACCTAGCGCGCTGCCAGGCCCTGCCAACTGGGTCAGCTCCCAGCGCTAGGCCAATCCACCTCAGCCAGACAGGCCGTTGCTACGCTGGTCCCCCTCTCCCGCCCCAGAGTGCAGGTACCTGGACGTCCATGCGTCCAATGCCAAGCTGATGTAGAGGTACGGAGCTGCTAGGTGCAGAACCTTGTTTTTCGCTGTTGCAAAATTCCCAACGCTCTGATTCGGCGCGGCCGGGATTCTAGAAACTGCACTGGCCAGCTGGTGCTAGCCTACCGGTCGGCCTGCATTCCAGGTACTTGGGACTTTGCCCAGTGTCAGGTAGATGTATCATGTAGGTGAGAAAAGACCATCTGGTACCTGCCGATGTCCCGCCCGAGCCAAGTGCAAGCACATTGACGCGGTTGAGGAGTAGGACACAAGCAGCCCAGCTGGAGCATCGCCAATGGGCTTACTTGCCCTATGAGGTAGGTAGACGCTAGACAAATCTCCAAACACGAAGAAGAGGGAGTCAAGAACAGCCATGCCGCGGCCTTGCCTTCGTGTACCCTCAGCCCGTCTGGGGGGGGTCGGCTCGCTGATCATCTGGGCCCCTTTGGCTCCGTGATGGTGTCGACCTCAATACACCACCATCGACATCGCCATTTCGACCTCCCAATTTCTCGCCTGGCTTGCTGGAACGGGCTTCCCGGCCCTCACACTCCAAATCGGACGCTGAGGAGGCCCTGACCTTGCCTCTCCGACTTGCCTTACCTTAGCAGGTCCCTTGCCTGCCGATGGCAAGTTGGAGCACTAGGCCGAAAAACTAAGGTCGGCTTCGGCGTCGGTTGCCTGGGTCATTCTAGATCCCTGAACTAGCTTTCCACCTCGATTTGGTCTGAACTTTAAGATCGGTGCGAGCACGATTTGGGGTGCCACCACCTGACGCCTCAGCTTGTGCCCAGCCAAGCGCAGCTGGCGTTTGCTGTTGTACAACGGTGACGAGAGTAGTGTGTGTGCTACCGGGCTCTCTCCCGCAATCCTTGGTTCGCCGTCCCAACGGCATCTTGCGAGTGTGACATGCGGCCTGCAGTTGGGGGAGGGCCCAGGCACGATGGGCAGGGCCGGCCCCTCGCTCGTGCGACCATCCCAAAGATTGGACCGGGTGTCATTCAGACAGCAACAGGCTGGCAGTCACTGGCCGCATGTGACCCTGGAATCACAGGCTGCATGAATGCCGGTACCAACCCATTACCTTATGTTAAAGTAGTCTCACTCAAAGGGTGCCTCTGGGAGTGGGCACCTCCGACATCTCTCTCCCGACGGAATATTGAGTCCAGAAATGTGATGGCCTGGGCAGCCGTTCTGCCTCCTCGATTGGCTGCCGGCCCATGGCCACGGTTGGTTGGCAATCATACCCAGGGGACAAGGAATCCCTTCCCATTTCCATTTCCGTCCTTTTTGGGCCTCGCGGACCAATAGCCCTGTGCTGGTACTTAAGTAGCGGCATGTCACCTGTGGGAAGCCGTGGGTGTGTCACTTACAAAGTCAAGACAACCCCACGTCTTATATCTGTCTCCTGTACTGTGGCAGCCTCATCTATCCTATCAAGGCGTGGCATTGTGAACACCTCATTAGACAGCACCCATCAGGTGGAGGCATCTTCTGGCCTTGCTGCGGGCGTGGCATGCTTTCCCGCGCATGAAGTGTCAGAAACCAGCAGCCACCAAGTTCCGCTGATTGAAACAGCGGGCAGCTGAGGGCCAGTGCCGCTCCTTGGCATGGCATGTGACACGACAGTCTCTTGACATTCCCCAGAAAACTAATGTGTAACTTTGTATCCAACAGAGGACTTGCCTCCTGACACCACACATTCTCCCGGGCGAAAGGTGGCCTCCAGGTTCAGCTAATAGTGTGAAAACAATACTCAAGGGAGACCAATTGGCTAATTAAGTGATGTCCAATTATCAATGCTCAATCCGTCCCCCAACTCTTGGGTAGATGGATGGTTCACGGCTCTAAATACTATTCATCATCGTCCAACCCACCAGTCCTCCTCTCCCCAACCTCGCGAATCTTCTCTCCCAGCAGCGTTCGCTCATATCGGTCCGCTACCTTGCCGGCGGCCTCGAACATTCTACCCGTCCGATCACGCATCAGTTCCACCATCTCCAGGGCGCGCATTCCACGCTCCTCGCCCTCTCTACACTCTACGGCAAGCAGCTGCAACAGGGTCTTGTCGATCTCAAGCTCGAGCCTTGCGAGTAACGAGCGTTGTGAGTGGCTTCCAGATGTAGAATCAACCAGGTCGCGGAGCTGGGCTGCCTTGACGCCCTGGAGGATAAATTGCTGCTCAAGCTTCTTTGTTTCTGATTCGGCAGTCTCGTCCTCGTCGTCTTCCATCGTCTCATCTTCGTCGTCCTTTCTTGCCTTTGGCTTGGGAGCCGACGAGAGGGGAATAGAGAACTCAAACTCAGAGAGCAAAGGTCTTGGGAAGTACGGGTATCTGTCTCCGCCCTTGAGAATAATGCAGTGGAACTTGTTGTCAGCCACCGCTACAGGGAAGTACGACTCAGATTTCCGTCCCGAAGCAAGACGATCGAGGAGCTTGGTATCAAGAAGGGGGACCCAGTAAGCTCGCGAAGGCTGGCGCCAGTGAAGCAAAGTGAGCAGCGTGCCCGTCGAATCGTATATGCAGGGTTCCTATAGGTTTGTTAGCAATAGAAAGACAAAGGCATGAACATTCAACTTACGCCATTGTCAGAGAAGAAAACACTCTGCAAGGTGGCTCCTTCTGGGAGAGCTACGGTGTCCTCGTTCTGGATCACTTCGTCTCGCTTCACATTTTCGATCGTGTACTGAAGGCGAGTGTTGCCATCGGGACC